CTCTCTCTCTCTGTGTGTGTGTGTGTGTGTGTGTGTGTGTGTGTGTGTGTGGACTGTATTTCCCCTTGTCAGACTTCATGGAACCAAATAAGCCTGTATCTCATGCAAACCCAGATTCTTCCTGTCATTGTTTTATCATGAAAATCACCCTCAATTCCATGCCTACCTTCCTCACAGAGCCAAGTTTTCCTCTGTCTCATGGTTCAGAGGAAGGGCTTCTTACCTCTGGATTCATGAGGCCCCAAGGATTATTACCTGTGCATGCCCTTTTCTCCTGAGAGGGACTATACTTCCATTAGTTTCTGAAAGAAACCTGTGACTCCTCAAGGCTTAAGAGCAACCTATCAGGAGTATGGCTCCAGCTATTTCTTTGTCGTAAGCCAGGCTGTGAATCCCCTGCCAAATGGAAGAGTCTTCCCTAATTATTCCCTTTCCCAGGATGTGGGGGCTCAAGGTTCTACTGCTGCCCATGGTGAGCCTTGCACTGTACCCTGAGGAGATACTGGACACTCAGTGGGAGCTATGGAAGAAGACCTACCAGAAGCAGTATAATGGCAAGGTGCCTGGGACTGGGAGGGAGCAAAGTGGGAGAGCTGGGGTGTGAGGTCTCCATTCTCAGCTTCCTTTCCTCAATCCAAATACAGTACTTTATTCCAACAAGGCAAACCTGTCCTGTTCCCTAACTTCATTTCTGTACCTCAGCTCATCGTCAAGATCCACCCATCCTTTGCTGTGTAATTGTCTTGACCGGGGGTATAGCTCAGTGCTACAGCCCTTGCCTAGCATGTGCAAGGCCCTGGGTTCTGCACCACCAACACCAAAAAAAAAAGTCTTAAATTTCTCTTTTGGGAAGACAGCTTGTTAGATTAATGCTGTTAATCTATGAGCAACTTTCTATTGATCTCCCCAGAGCTTTGCATTGTATTTGTATTTATTTACATATTTCTTTTTGTGTACTCTAAATCCATGGTTTCCCAACTAGACTACATTTTACAATTTTTTTTTCTTCTGGTACCAGAGATCGAACTCAGGACCTTGCACTTGCCAGGCAGGCCCAGTGCCATTGAGCTAAATCCCTGGCCCCATTTTACAATTTTAAATTGCATCTTTTCTCCACAGTACCAGCTATGTAACTCTGCACATATATGTCAGTATATGCAAGTACTGACAATGCTCTATTTAGGTGGATGAACTCTCTCGGCGCTTAATTTGGGAGAAGAACCTGAAGTATATTTCCATCCATAACCTAGAGGCCTCTCTTGGCGTCCACACGTATGAGCTGTCCATGAACCACTTGGGAGATATGGTGAGTTGAGCTTTGGCTCCTGGCCCGTCTGCCATGTCTGCTTTGACTTCCTGCTAATGCCGGGTCTCTCTCTTCTCTGTCTCAGACCAATGAAGAAGTGGTTCAGAAGATGACTGGGCTCAAAGTCCCTCCTGCTCATTCCCACAGTAATGACACCCTCTACATCCCAGACTGGGAAGGCAGGGCTCCCGATTCTGTTGACTACCGAAAGAAGGGCTATGTTACTCCCGTCAAGAACCAGGTACTCTTGTGTGTGTGTAGGTAATCTGGCACGACCTATCCTTTTGCTGGTGTTTTGGTCTTGAAGTAGGAGGGTACCAGTAAAAAGGGAGATAAAAATTAAGGTATAGCTCCTCGTGCAAAGAGAATATAGCCCTGTTCTGTTACTGAACTCATTATCTATTTTTGTACATTTAAGTTGTTTCTAAATTTTCTTTATTACAAATAGTGTTGCAGTAAGTGCTCTTGTGTGTGTGTGAACTGTAGAAATATTTAGCAAAATAAAATTGGAATTGTTGGTTCACAGTTTCCCAAAAGTTTTTACAATCTTACATTTTTGCCAACATGAGAATGCCAATTTTCCCATAGTCTTAACACAGGTTTTTATCAGTAAGATGAGCAACTGGGTGTCAGGGTGATGCCTATAATCCCAGCTACTTGCAGGAGAATACAGTTTGAGACCATCCTAGGCAATTTAAAGAGACTCTGTCTCAAAATGAGCATTTAAAAAGGTGTGTGTGTGGGATCTACCTCAGCACCAGAGTGCCCTCGGGGTTCAATACCCAGTACTGCCAAAAAAACAAAAGAATAATTAACATTCATTTAACAAATACTATTTATTTCTCCCCTAGAACCTACCACTCACTACAGTGCTAGGCAATAGAGATACAAAATGGCTAATACAGGGCCGGGGATTTAGCTCAGTGGCACTGTGCCTGCCTCACAAGTGCAAAGTCCTGAGTTCGATCCCTGGTACCACCCCAACAAAAGGAAAAAAACAAAACAAAACCCAAAATGGCTAATACACAACCTGCACCTGCATCCTCAAGAACTCTTCTATCTTAAAAGATCAAGAAAGAAAAAAATCTACCCTCTGGCAGAATGAACATAAAGTCTAATTTCTTAATCCTCATGACAGTACACTAAGAACATTATTCACATTCTACAGATAAGAAAACCGAGGCACAGAGCGCTGCAGTAACTTGCCCAAGGCTCCACAGCTCCTGGTACCAAGCCTGTTAGGACTCAGGTGCAGGAACTGCCTCCAAAACCTGGCATCCGCTTTCCCTCTGTACTGCAGCTCCGGGGAAGCACAGTTACCGACAGCAGTGGGAGTGTGCGGTGGATTTAGTGAGGGGGAATAGAAAGGCTTCTCCACAAAGGCAATGTGCACATGGGTTTGTAAGGTGCATGGGGAATTTCGTCAGGCAGGTGGAGAGAAGACAGAACGTGGGAGGCCCAGGACTGACCGCTTCTCTGTATCCCTCTCAGGGTCAGTGCGGTTCCTGCTGGGCTTTCAGCTCTGTGGGTGCCCTGGAGGGCCAGCTCAAGAAGAAAACAGGCAAACTCTTGAATCTGAGTCCCCAGAACCTGGTGGACTGTGTGTCTGAGAATGACGGCTGTGGAGGCGGCTACATGACCAACGCCTTCCAGTACGTGCAGCAGAACCGGGGCATCGACTCCGAGGACGCCTACCCGTACGTGGGCCAGGTGAGGCTTCTCCCAGCAGCTCTGCTGTGTCGTGGCTGCCCCTTCCCCATCGTGGTAGCACTTCCTGGGAACGACTGCAGAAATTTTGTGTTCTCTTATCCTATTTGGCTTTCTTACTGGGATAATTTCTCACAAAAAAGATTTCAACAATCTTGGGAGAGCTTTGGGACCATAAACTACCATTGCTTCTATCTCTCTGCCTTGGATATGAGAGGGGATAGATTCTCCTGTAGCTTCTGGGCAGGTCTCGATAACCCTCTGCTAAGATCCTCGTGCCTACAAGCCACGAAACTAACCTTGCTATTTTCATGAATCATGTGACTTTTTTTCTTTTTTTTTTGATAGGGTCTTGCTATGTGGCCCAGGCTGGCCTTGAACTCTAGGTGATCCTACTGCCTCGGCCTACCCCCAGAGCTGGGATTATAGGCATGCACCACCCATGTCTGGCCATGTGGCTTTGTTTTACATGAGCTCAGTGGAGTTTGGGGAACATCTAATCAGGTTATGTGAATTAACATGCTAAATGTATAAAATCTGAGAAAAAACAAGTTATTTCGTATTTAGTATAATTTTAGAGATAAAGGATTACCTCACTTTCTCCATGATTTTTTTTGTTGTTGTTGATTTTGGTACCAGGGATGGGACTCAGGACGTTTCGCCATGATTCTTTAGTAACAGGATCTTTCTTCTCTAGATGGAGGCAATCTGAGGGCTTCTAAATATACATGGGGCTGGTGGGTAAAGTAACACAAGCCTTTGTGATGGGGGCCTTTGGAGCAGGACTTGCAAGTCTGAGCGGTGAAACTTGATGGCTGCCATGTACTAAACCATGCAGTTGGCGCATTTTCTTTTAACCCTCATTCTAGCGTTGTAAGGTAGACTTGACTTCACTCTATAGACAAGGAAATTAACATTTCAGGAGCTAAAAGAACATACTCCAATTTGCACCATTCGTATATAGCAAAGATAAGTCTTTATCTGACACAGACTTTCCTAGGCACATGTGTGCGAATTCTGCACTAGGATATAATACCTTGGAATACCTTGAATGTGTATGTAAAACTTTACTATATAATGTCCACTTTGTCTACTAAAAGAATTTGGAAAAATTTGTACTCCCACTTAAAGTGTATAAGAATTTTGTGACGAGTCAGGGATTTAGATCAGTAGTTCTGCTGCCTGCCTCGCAAGTGCAAGGTCCTAAGTTTGATCCCTGGTACCAGAAAAAAAAACAACAGAATTTTATACGAGATCTTACTAAATTGCCTAGGCAGACCTCGAATTTGCAATCCTCCTGATTCAGTCTCTCCAGTAGCTGTGATTATGAATGTGTACACCAAGCCCCGAAATGCCTGTTCCTCATTTTGTTTGTTTGCTTTTTGATCTTTGAGATGGCATCTTGCTGTAAGGTTCAAGCTGGCCTTGAACTCTTTGTAGCCTGGCTGTTTTAGAACTCAAGGCTGTCCTCCTGCCTCAGTCCCCCAACAACTGGGATTACAGGCATGTGCCACCACACCAGCTACTGTGCAGTTTTTGACAGCAGAAGGCAACAGGGGTTTTGCTCAAATGGCAGAGAACAAAGGGATCTTGAGAAATCATGAGGTAGTAGAGTACTACAATCATAGGCAAATGCTCTACCACTGAGCTACATCCCCAGCCCTTGTAATCTTAGAACATCATGTCAAATGCCACCATTACTATCAATATTTAGATAAATGTGTTCTTCTTGTAGGTATAACCTTAAGATCTTGAAGGGATCAGCTGTAATGTGTTGCCAAATAATTGCGGCTTGTCGACAAAACATATTGCTAACTGGAACTGCAAAACATGGAGGTGGAAGATCACAAACTAAACTGCCAAGAAAATGTCATGTTATGTGCTTTTATTTCTGTGTCTGATGAGAACTCAATCCACAAAACTCTGCCTCACACTGGTGTCCCTGATGCAGAGGGGAAGGGCCAGGTCCTGCCTCTGTTGAGCTCTGGCCTTGGCCTTCTCTTTGCACAGCAGCTGGTGCCTGCCTACCCTCTGAGGCTCACACATGCTACAAGGCCAGAAGATGACTTGTGTCTTTGTGTGTTGTGTATGTGTGTGTGTGCCGGGGATTGAACCCAGGGCCTTCGTACTGATTTACATCCTCAGCCCTGTTTTTGTTTGAGACAGGGTCTCGCTAAGTTGCCCAGGCTGGGCTCAAACATGTGACCCTCTTGCCTCAGCCTCCCAGAGTGCTGGGATGATAGTCATGACCCACCATGCCTGGCTATGACTTGTGCCTTTTACAAAAATCTTATTTGAGAAATCTTTTTTTTACCCTGAAGTAATAAAAGCAGTATCTCTTCTTTAAATGTTTTAGTTTTCCATGTTTATGTCTTTAAACCACCTAGAGCTGATGTTTATGTGTGGAAAGGCAGGAATCCTCTCCCACCTTTTTTCTTTTGGTACCAGGGACCGGACTCTGGACCTTGCGCTTTCGAGGCAGGTGGCGGAAACACTGAGTTAAATCCGCGGCCCAGGAATCCCTTTTTATGTTCTTTTCATAATTTCCTAAAATAGTAAAGAGGAACAGAATGTTACTTCACTGATGCTACTCAAAACTTGGGTCGTTTCTCACTGACCAACTCATTGCCTGTTGCTTTGTTCTAGTCCTGTTACAACCTCGTTACCTCGTTTCTTCCAGGACGAAAGCTGTATGTACAACCCAACAGGCAAGGCAGCTAAGTGCCGAGGATACAGAGAGGTCCCCGTGGGCAACGAGAAGGCGCTGAAGAGAGCTGTGGCCCGCGTGGGACCCATCTCTGTGGCCATTGATGCAAGCCTGACCTCCTTCCAGTTCTACAGCAAGGGTGAGGAGCTTTACGGTGCGGGCATGGTGTTCTGGGGCCCACCTGCTCGGTGCAGTGCCCAGTTCCCTTGTTTAAACTCAGTCTGCCAGAGAGAACCTGATGGCAGCTGCAGTGCAGATCGTCCCTGTGGTCAGCCTGCTGGGCCAGGCCCCATCCTGGTGTCCTGGACCGGGAAGCCCCATGGACAGCTGTTGGACTGCAGCGAGCCTTGGTGTGGTTGTCTTCCAGGTGTGTATTACGATGAAAGCTGCGACGGGGACAATCTGAACCACGCAGTGCTGGCCGTAGGATATGGGATCCAGAGGGGACACAAGCACTGGATACTTAAAAACAGGTAAGGTGGGAATGCTGCTTTGTCAGTTAATCACCCTGTGACACCCCACGTTACTTCAGTTTCCCAGAATTCCTTTTCTTTCTCCCAAATCAAGAGAGATTGTCTCGGGCTCTTCAGTTCTGCCTTCTGATCAGAGTCTTAATTCTGAGGTTGGCAAGGGCGGTCAGACAATAGTACTCAAGTGTGTCGCACACTGATCCATGTGCAGGGTGCTTTGTCCGCAGTACTAACAAACAAGTGGATGCCTGCTCAAAGCCCTCTCATGGCCCAGTGAGAAAGACAGTGCCAATTCTCTGTGACATGAGCAGTGGAGAAGCTGCTCACTTCCTGGAGAGTCCTCCTCATTTCACCCATCTCACCTGGGATTACTTGGAGGCCACAGCCACCAGCTGTAGCCTCTCTTGCCATGGCAGAGCTCATACTCATCAGACTTTCGGAAAAGATAATTCAACCTAATAGCAACCTGCCTTTCCAGACATAGCTCCCCATGCACCCTGTCGGGCACTGTTTTCGGCCACAGGACCCTGACACATGTCCTGTCACCCTGCCTCTGTTGTCAGCCTCACAGCCCTCCGCGGGTGTCCCATTCCCACACGCCGCCAGCTTTGGGCCTCAGCCCGTTTTCATCCTCTTGCTGAGTAGCACTCTCTTCTGCCTCCAAGATGATAGCATTATACCTTTTTTCCTCTTCGCCACTCAAAACACTTCAAAGGTAAAAGTCACCTTGCTCAATTTTGTATGCCATCAGTACCTCGCACACTACAGTAAGAGTTTTAAAGAATAAACTGAGGTACTGACTTTTTCTTGATTGGTCTTACAGCTGGGGAGAAAACTGGGGAAACAAAGGCTATGTTCTCTTGGCTCGAAATAAGAACAACACCTGTGGCATTGCCAACCTGGCCAGCTTCCCCAAGATGTGACTGCAGCCAGCAGGCCTCCTCCTGCTCTTTCGATCATCTGTGATGGCGCAGTGCCATGATGTGCCTTGGAAGGGAGCTGTAAGCCATTCCTGAAACAGACGAGGCGATACTGGGATTGTCTGTTTCATTTCTTCATTCAGCGGTGCTTCAAGCGACGCCCCTACTACTTTCCTTCTCGCCACCAGAGGCCCTTTCCTTTGGGCCCACATGCAGGAATTCCCTGCCAGGTGTGGGTGCGTGGCTAAGAGATGTGACCGCAGCCTTGCCTGGCTGTGCTGTCCGGGCACTGTGCTGGGGAAGCTGTCAGGTGCACGTGACTCCGGTGCATCAGGACCAGTTAGCTGGAAGCAGGCGCCCTGGAAGACTAAGGCGACCTGACTTTGAAGTTTCTGAGCTCCCTTCCATATCCTCAAGGTAGAGATTGCCGTGTTTTCCACTCCAGTTCACAAATATATTCATAAGTCTTTGGTACAAGGTCACATGACAGAAGAAATGTTTTCTTTTTTTCCTTCTTTGCATTTTTGAAATAAAGTATTTATCTCTTGGCTACAGTGTAATAAACAGCATTTAGTATGCACTCATTTTGTGTAGATGGGGTGCTAGCTGTTGGGAGACAAACAAATGAATAACAATATTGCCTCTGCTTGATATATTCAGTCTGCCTGGAAAGACTGCTGCATAACCACCCCAGTGCATTTATGTGTTCCTCCCTCCAGCAGGATTTATGAAGTACTTACTCTACTCATACTGAGCTTCTGGGATGAAGGAGATCTTGGTATTTAGTGCTCTCTGTGGGTGGGTCACATGAAGTGACAAGCTTACCCGAGTCTTGAAAAGTACTTTAAATCTGTTCCTGAGGTTCTACAACCCAAACTTTTGCTGTCACTAAAAGAAGAAGTATGAATTCTTTACTAATAGTTTTCAACAAGGATTAATTCTAGAAGTTTAAATCTGCATAACTTGCTTTACCTTTTTTCACAAACTGTTTATCAAAGACCTGTTTTTTGTTAGTGGTGCTGTTTTGATTTTTTTGTTTGTTTTGAGACAGGGTCTTGCTATGTAGTTCAGGCTGGACTCCAACTCACAGTGTAGCCCAGGCTGACCTTGAACTCACAGTGATCCTCCTGACTCAGCCTCCCTAGGGCTGGGATTACAGGGATGCACCATCACACCAGCAAGGACCTGTTATTACCACTAGAAAAGTCCCATTTATTGACTCTCTCATGTCAGGAATTCTTATTTCTTGCTATGCAAAAAAAGTTTTTGGTGGGCCGGGGATTTAGCTCAGTGGTTCCGCCACCTGCCTCTCAAACTCAAGGTCCTGAGTTCGATCCCCAGTAACAAAAAAAAGGTTTTGGTAAATATTTATTAACATGTAGTAAGGAATATATTAAGTCTAAGAGTCTAATCATGGCCCTAATTTCAAAAATACTGGGGGCTGATGATTTAGCTCAGTGGTTCCGCCACCTGCCTCACAAGTACAAGGTCCCGAGTTCGATCCCCGGTACCAAAAAAAAAAAATACTGCCAGGCTTGGTCCCAACTACTTGGGAGACTGAGGCAGTGGGGTCTCTTGAGCCCAGGTTTTTCAGTTCAGTCTGGGCAACCTCAGCAAGACCTCATCTCAAAAAGCAAAAAGTATTAAGAGAAAAAATAATCATTTGACAACTGTTTTGAAAAGCTAAGCAGTTTAAAATGGGTTCTCTGGATGTTTCTGAAATGAATAATAAAATTGTTTTAAAAAACTGTTTAAAAAAGAACGTGGTACATTCATGATAGAGACCGATACAAGCAACCAATAATATTAACCGCAGTGAAAAACAAGCTCAGGAATGGGTCATGACTGAGTAGATTTTAGGTAAGGTGCACTCAGATACACCTCCAGCCCTTTCTATTTTGAGACAGAGTCTCATGAGGTTGCACAAGCTGGCCTTGAACTTGCAGTGTTCTGAGTGTGGGTGACCTGTGAGGACCGGAGCGGCTGAGCTATAGAGCGCGAGTGTGCGCCGACGCTGAGGTGAGAAGAGTCCCGAGTGCGTCCTGGAGGAGCGCAGATGCCCATGGCATACAGGCATTTAGGACGCATCAAATATTTTTAAACAAGATGTCATAATTAGATCTATATTTTAATAATACTCCTCTGGCCCTAAAGTAAAAAAGATGAAGAATAAAATGGAGATGTAGCCTGTAATCGTAGCGCTCAGAAGGCTGAGGCAGAAGGATCACGGCGAGTCTGAGGCCAGCCTGGGCTACACTGTAGTTCAGGGACAGTCTGGACTACCTAGGGTGACCGTGTCTCAAAAGAACAAAACAAAACAAAATGGAAATGCAAGTGAATGGAGGAAAATCAACATTTAGGAGGCACCTACACATACTGAATTGCTTCTCAAAGAAAGAACAGCTCATGGAGAGAGCTTTTGTGCGTCTTGATGATGAGTTTGGCAGATAATGAAGGCCAGAAATGGCATTCTTAGCAAATCTCATCCCAAGAAATCTCATGTTCAAATGTATAGGCATGAGCGCACGCATGTTCTGCAGTCCACAGGTATTTTTATTGAACTTTGAAAGGACCAAAAGCAAGCTGGAGGGATGTCTGACTCCACTGGAAATTCTACACAGACTTCTGTTATTTTGATCTGGGATTTTTTTTGCTCCTGCCTAAGGTACATCCTTTCGACCTGGGCATGGTGGTGCAAGGCTTCAGGCAGGAGGGTAGCAAGTTTGGCCTAGTCTGTACTGTCTGAAAATAAGTAAGAAGCACTGGGGATGGAGCTCAGTGCAAGGGCCCTGAGTTCAATCCCCAGCACTGAAAATAAAATCCTTTGGTATTTCCTGTTGTCTATATATGGGCAGTTTATTCCATTCCTAAATATATTTGGGCTTATTTCTGTTTTTTTCCTAACTCATTACTACGTATATCTATATATACTTTAGCAGTATCACATCTAATTAATGGAGCTTTATAATGTGGGGTGTTTTTTTTTTGTACTGGGGATCAAACTCGGGACCTTGCGCTTGCAAGGCAGGCAGCGGAACCATTGAGCTAAATCCCCAGCCCTATAGTGTGTTTTTGTATCTAGTAGGGTTAGTCTTTTCTAGAAAATTTCCTAAATGTTCCTGCCTTTAATTTTTTCTATATAATCTTTAAAATCAGCTTCTCAAGTTATCAAAAATCCTGCTGATATTTTTGTTTGGGTTATACTAAATCTATATTTTAGCTGAGGGAAACATCTCTTCCTACTGTTGAATTTTCCTGTCTGTTCTGGAATAACCCAGTCTCAGTGTATGGACACTGGCCACAGGATGCCCTGAGACCACCGAAAGCGGCAAACCGATCCAGGGTAACATCCAGTGCGCTTTCCTCAGGGACCTAGGGACAAAGTGTGGTCGGGGAAGCAGTGGGACCAGTGGATCCTAGCGATTTGGTCAGAAGTAGGGGCATCTGTACTGCTCAGAACAAAAGTGATTTCATCTGCGCTGGACTGTAGTTAGGCTCCACGGAGCACCGTGGTGGTTTTAGTTACAGTATGGGGAAAATATGGGGAAAAGAGTGGGGTTACTCAGGGGTAGTTATGCAGCCAGGCCAACTTGAGTCCATAAACTAAGAATAAAATGCCTTAAATATTTTTCAGGTATTCTTTTATAATTTCTTATAGATCTTGCTAGTTTTTTGACAATTTTTTGTTTGGTACTGGGGATCGAACTCAGGATCTTGCGCTTGCATGGCAGGCACCGGAACCACTGAGCTAAACCCCCTGGCCCTTGATAAGAAAGTCTGTAGGGTTGTTATTTGCAGTTGAAAATGGAGTTATTTCTAATATATCTTATAGTTGGATGTATTTGTATATTTGAAAGATACTGATTTGTTATGTTAATTTTGTACTAAGCTACCTTATCTTGAATTCTATTTTTTTTGGTCCCAGGGATCAAACTCAGGACCTAGCGCTTGCCAGGCAGGCGCAGTGCCACTGAGCTAAATCCCTGGCCCTTGAATTCTGTTTTTGTTTGTAAGTTTTCCAGTTGATTCTCTTTGATGAGGGGGAGGGGATAAGTGCATGATACACAGCTAAATTTTACTCCTTTCTAGTTTTTACCTCTAATTTCTGTCTTATCTATTTGTATCAGGTAATTCCTCCAAAATGATGCTAATACAGACGGGTCCTGACCTAGAAACATGTAAATATATGTAAATTTAACTAGTGCCTTGGGCCGGGGATTTAGCTCAGTTGTTGCGACACCTGCTGTGCAAGCGCAAGGACCCGATTCCGATTCCTGGTACCAAAAAAAACAAATTTAACTAGTCCCCCTTTGGTAAACATACTGTCTTCAGTATTCTCAGCTATAAATACTATTGCAATTAGTGGTTGATTTTTGACACAAAGACATTTTAAAATGATTGTACAATCTAATTTGTCATTTTAAAATTTCTTTCATAATACTGATATTAGCTAACATTCATTGAGCTTTACAAAATATATCATGTTAAGTGCTTTGTATTCTCTTCCCTTATCATCTCCATTTTATAGATATTAAGTAGTCTGCCCCTGGTGGACTAGTTGGTAAGTGGCTGAGCCAGGACTCAGACCCAGGTGTTCTGTTTTTCTAAATTTTATTATCTACTTTATGTCTTATATATTTTATTTTGAATAGATTTAATAGGATAAAGATGCTGTGCTTTTGCAAATGACAAGATCTTGGTATATAAAATTCTAAGGAATTTACTGAAAAACAATTAGAACTAATAAAATGAGTTCTACATAGTTGCAGGATATGAGATTGACATACAAAAATTATTTTTGTTTCTGTACAGTAACATAAATAAACCAAAAAAACTAAGAAAGCAAGACCATTTTACAATAGCATCAAAAAGAATAACATTTAGAAATGAATTTAATACAAATAAGCGCACAATTTATACTCTGAAAGCTACAAAAATTATCAGAAGAAATGAAGAAAACCTAAATAAATGGAATGTTATAAAGAATCCACTTAGGCTGGGGATGTAGCTCAGCACACAGTCTCTGCCTGTTAAATGCAAGGTCCTGAGTTCGATACCTAGTACAAAAAAATAATCCACTTGTCAAAACAGGCTTTGAAAGAAAAGTTTATTCCAGGGCTGGAGATTTAGCTCAGTGGTGCCTCGCCTGCTTTGCAAGAGCTAGGTCCTGAGTTCGATCCCTGTTACTAAAGAAAGAAAGAAAAGAAAAGTTTATTCCAGTGAACACGGACTAAAATCAGGAGATTTTACCAGATAGCTTGGGAAAGCCAAGTTTGTCACATCTGTGTGTCAACAGAGGCAGCTAGCTGGGAGAAATTCCATCTGTGAGTGCATGGGGTAACACTAGGAGAGAGAGAGATTAGCAGCTAACTGGGAAAGGAATTAGGTTTGTATAGGTATGGAAGGGGCTAAGGAATCTGGGGTGAAGTATTTATGACTTGGATGCCCAAGGACGGTCTGCTCAGGTGTGTGCACAATTACTGGACTTCTCAGCGCCAGGGGGGCTGTATACTACATTTTGAGCCATTTGTCCTATTTACTGAGAAGATGCTGTTGTTTGCTGAAAGCAGCATGTTTGCTTTGTTCTGTTGGTTTAGGGCAGGCCTGACATAGAAGACACCCCATGTTCATGCACTGGAAGACACTATTATTAAAGTGGCAATACTCCCAAATTTGAAATATAGATTTAACACAATCCCAATCAAAGTCCCAACTGGCTTCTTTGCAGAAATTTATAATCTGGCCTTATTATTAATATGGACATTCAAGGGATCCAAAATAACCCAAACAATCTTGACAAAGCACAAAGTTGGAGGACTCACACTCCTACTTCAAAGTTTACTACAGACCGCAGTAACTGACACTGTGGTTAAGCACATGCAAATAATACAGTATGTACATCTCAGGCAGCAGACCTCATGGGAGATATCCTGACCTCAGGCTCACTGTATTTCCTGACATCTGGACAGGAGCCTAGCAAATATGCTCATGCCTTTATCACACTCCTTGGTCTTCGGCATAAACCTGCTCCAGAGTGACTCTGAGGATAATCCCCACAGTCCTTATTCTATCTCAGCATTGGGCCCCTCCTCCGTGGGCTGTGGCAGCCATGCTGGTTCCATCAAGGCCATATAAGTTCATAAACTCCCTCTCCCAATGTGACGATAGAGACACAGTTGATTGGGGAAAAGCCCAGTTACAACCTTGTAGTTACCAGCCTTCGACCACTCCCCAAGTTCTAGGAAAATAAGAGAACGGATACCATCTCTGGTTTTGTCCATCCTCCATTCTTGAGGGTGACAGCTGCTTTCTCTAGGTGCTGCCTACTTGAAACTTTCCTAAGTTTACTTTAGTCTCAAACCCAACACAGACAGGAGCCTCTCTGAGTCAAACTTGTTTTCCAGTTTCCCCATTGGCCTGCTCTCTCTGTGAAGTGTACTTTCCCTTTAATAAATTCTACCTTTCTTACTCCTTCTATGGGTCCTGCTCAATTCTTTGAGATACAAAGGCCTGGAAATCGGGTGAGACTGAGACCTACAACTGGTAACAGATCCATGTAACAGAATTAAGAGTGTGGAAGTAAACCCTTACACTTATGTTCAGGTGACACAGGGTGCTGAGGGCCCAGGCCTGCCTAACTGCTTTATAATATTTTCTGATTAGCTTAGCTGTCTACAGTGACGTGGCTGGGTAGCGTCAGGGAAGGAATCTGCAGCAGTTTCCGTGTTGTGTCTCAAAGTGGTGTGAC